AAAAGGGGACAAAAGACACCCGAGTCAGAGGGTGCTGCCCCGAGGGGATGCACTGAGGGAGAGGGGACAGAAGGTGACAAAAGGGACCAGAGTCAGAGGGCGCTACCCGGAGGGGACAAAAGGGGACAAAAGGGGACAAAAGGGATCGGAGTCAGGGAGTGCTGCCCCAAGGGGACCCAGTGCAGGCACAGGAGACAAAAGGGGACAAAAGGGGATAAAAGGGACCATCCGGTCAGAGGGTGCTGCCCCGAAGGGACGCACGACAGGAGAGGGGACAGAAGGGGACAAAAGACACCGGAGTCAGAGGGTGCTGCCCCGAGGGGACAAAAGGCCACAAAAGGAACTGTCTGGTCAGAGGACGCTGCCCCGAGGGGATGCACTATTAGCAGAGGTGATAGAAGGGGAAAAAAGGGACCATCAGAGGGTGCTGCCCGGGGGGACAGAAGGGGACAAAAGGCACCAGACTCAGAGGTGCTGCCCCGAGGGGACAAAAGGGACCAGAGTCAGAGATGGGCGGAGCGCTGGGGATAGCAGTGGAAGGGACAGCTCTGCCCCACGGGTGTTGTCACTGTGCCCGTGCCAGGTGCCCTCTGAGATGCTCTCTCCCCGTGCTTCCCACGAGGAGATCAGACCTTTTCCATCCTCCCTCCGTTCCCAGCTCATCCCTCGCTCCGTGTCCCCTCCCCGGGATTCCCCCGATCCTCCCGCGGGGCGGCTCCTGCCCCTCCCTCACCTGGCCGGGTTTCACCTCCGGGGTGGGGCCGTTGTAGCCTTTGAGCCGCGATGTCCTGAACACGTTGTCGATGTCCCCGAAGGAGTAAACGCAGACGGCAGAGCTCCCCCTGAGGGCACAACGACAGGGTCAGGGGGGACATCGGGCAGTGCCCATCACCGTGCCCGCTCCAGCTGCTTTCCAGCCCTGGATTTGGGCCAGGGCCCCTCACCAGGTGTTGGTGAAGAGCCCGTAGACCTTGGAGTGCCGCCAGTCACCGGCAGGGACGAAGAAGACGTCCTGGAGCCAGTTGAAGTTGCCCTTGGTGACGGGGTCCACGCAGATCAGGGTGGCCTTGAGGAACGTGGTCCACTTGGAGGCTGAGAGGGAGCTGGTTCCTCCCCTGTCCTCCTGGGGGACAGGGACAGCCGGGAGGGAGTCAGGGTTTGGGGGGGAACACCCCAAAATGCCCATCCTGATCGGGAGCTGCGGGATGCTGCCACAATCCCGTTCCTGCCATCCCGGTGAGATGGAGCAGGGAATTCTCTCCCTTACCAGGCCAAAGGACTCAGAAGGGCCAAACCAAGCCTGGGTAAGCCCAGGGGAGCTGGCACACGCCCTGTCCCCCCCAGAGCTGTCCTGGCTGCCACCCCAGCCTGTCCCCAAGGTACCTTACACAGCTGGGCCACCCGCGAGATGTTGCGGGGCGCCTCGGGGCTCTTGTCCGGGTTGTCCTCGCGGAAGAAGTAATAAATCTTGTCCTGGTGAGGCTCCTCGTGCCTCAGCGTGGTGGCCTTGACAAACTGAGGGTCTGGGGAGGCAAGGGACAGAGCTTGGACCTGATTTCATCAGGGGAGCCAGCAGTGGGGACAGGGCAGGGAGTGGGACACGGCAGTGGCCTGGGGAAAGGAGAGCTCCGAGCTCAGGCTGGCCCTGCCGACCCTTGGGAAGGCTGAGCTAGAACTGAGACAAGACAGAATTAAACAATAAAACAGGGATTTATTAAAAGGATCTCCCCAGTGGATGCACCTTGGGCAGCACAAGAGCCAACCAAGATGAACCAAAATGGGGTCACAAAAATGGACACAGAGGTCTCTGACTTTTGTAAGTTCTGCTCCATTTGCCTATTGGAATTAATTGTCCAATTGCAGCTTTAGGTTATGAAATCCCATCCTTCTTGTTTTTCTCTCTTCAGCCCACATTGTTTGTGCCCTTGGGCCTGAGATTTGGATCATTTGGCCTTGGTCCCCAGCTAGAGCAGGAATTGTTTTGCTCTGTGCAGAGAGCTCACCATCCCCTAACTCAGCTCACCAGACCCACACACTAAAGCAGAATCTGAAAATACAAAAGCTAAACCTGAGGCACCAGTGCCACCTTCCCAGTGCCTCCTGCCTGACTGCACAGACTCATTCCCTGGAGCCTGGGGAAGCCCTGGCAGCCACAGAAACCGAGTCCCTCCCACTCTGGGAGCTGTTGTGGGAAGGAAGGAAGGATCCCTCAGGAGGAGCAATCCGTGCTGTGCGTTGGGAAAACCCCGTAACGCCGTTCCTGTTAATGCACCCCTGTGTCCCTCTGAGCATCCTGAGCTGCTGTTTCCACAGCAGGGAATCTCCAGGGATCAGAGCCCTGCAGTTCCCACAGCAGGGATCAGCCTGGCAGCCCTGGGGCTCTCAGGCCTGGCTTGGTTTCCCCCTCCCTATTTTATCCCGCTGTCACTTTAATTCCATATTTATCCCATTAATCCCCCATTTCCCTCCCTAGGAAGCCACCACAGCAGCCACCACAAGCCCAGGGAAGTGGAGCAGGGTCCTTTCCCCATGTCCCCTCCCTGGGTTTGGCCTGGCTGGGGTTTGCCAGGGCCCCTGCCCACACTGGATGTTGCCCAACGCTGTGGGGCAGCTGCCACATTTTGCATTTTACACAACCCAATTTCCTCCCACCCCACAGGAGGGACTTGCCAGCCTCATTTCCCCATGCCCCAAGGACAGGGAAGTCACTTTTGTGCTGGTTTGGGACAGCTGACTCCCTCCTGGCTGGCACCAAGGGCACCTGCTCTGTCAGATTGAGCTTAGGGGGCACTGGGGCAGTACAGCTGCACCACAAACTGGAACTTCTCTGCTGGGGAAGCAACATTTAACTGTGGATCTCCCTCAGCACAAAATTCCATTGCCAAAGAACCAGGAATTTCCAGTTTTGATGTTCAGAAGGTACTTTAAGAAGATCAGGGACCCAATGATGTTAACTGGTTATGGGATTTATCTCATTGATAGCTTTACACCAATAATTGTCACCTTTGGGTATTGGCCACTCCTTGGCTGGCACTGGGACACCAAACAGGTCATAAAGGGTTTGCTTGGGCTCAAACTGGTCAAACATTTGGTGTCTAAGCCTGCTGACTTGGCTAAAGCAACCCAAACATTCATTTTTTTGTGGCTCTACAGCCATATCTGCACTGCAAAAGCCAGCAAAGCAAAACTAACGAGTTTTGCTTAATCTGACACCAATCAGGCTCCAAAAGAGGCTCTGGAGTTTCTCCTGCCCCCTGCCAGCTGTGGGGGGGCAGACAACAGTGGGGAGCCCCCCAGTAGGAATGTCCCCTTGCTGGGAATGTCCCCTTGCTGGGGATGTCCCCACTCACTCTGCATCACGGTGTCACTGGTGTAGAGCTCTCCCCCGCCCCTCACGCGGCGGAACCGAGGGATCTTCCCGTTCTGCTGGCTCTTCTTGATGGTGGAGTAGATGTCCTGGCCTGTGGGGAGAGGATGAGGAGGAGTGAAAGCAGCCAGGGCTTCCTGGGCATGGCAGGGATGGTGGGTGTGGAACAGGAATCCCAGTCCTTGAAGGGTGGCAGGGACACTTCTTGGAAGGATCCTCAC